TGACGTTGAAATTCCGTGTGGAAAATGGGGTGGGAGACAAGGAAACTTCTGCGATGCACACGCCAAACGCGCAAACAAAAAACACGTGGAAGAACCAAACGGCCTTTTAGAACGCGCACAATTTTTTTATTTTGTTTAATAAATTTTTTGTTTAAAGTAAAAGGCATCTTTCATCAATAAATTATGCATAATTTAATACCTTTAAACAAATTAATTATATTATTCTTTACTTTAAATAAATATTTATATTATTCTTTACTAAACAATTTATTTATATTATAAATAGTTTATAGGGTAGGTAGTTGGAGCATGTGCTCTGTGGGGGATGAGTTGAATTTGGCAAGCAAAGGATTATAATATTTATGAGGTCACGGGCAAGGACTGAGTCAGTCGTGGACTCCCCAGAACAATTTATTGATTTTTCTTTTCTGTTTTTTTATAGATATTTAAAATTATTTTTACTCTTTTAAACGAGAGATTAATCCTCAAAAAATTCAGATATAAATCCATGCACTGTACACTTTATTTTTCTTTAAAAAAGGTACAAATGACGTTCAGTATAAATAATTAATTTTTATTTATTTCCTTGACACTTTAATTTTCATAAATGATGTTTTCGATAGAAGATGTTTCAACGTTATCTTGCAAGTTGGGTTATCCTTGATTTTTACATTATTTTATTATTGATTAGGACTAAGTAGTGTCTGTTTATTTATTTCTTTTACTCATCCACGTGATACTCATGACTTTGGTTTTGATTTCTTTTGGCTGTTATGCGTGATATTCATGATAACTCTAGATGCTCCTTTACGAAACACTCTCACCTCTTTCTCGATAATAATAATGCCATTGCACCCACTTTTACCTCTCATTTATATTCTTATTTAAACGTTAAGAATGTCTTTTAATTTTTTTCTTTTTAAAATATTTACATAATTCATGAAATAAGTCTTCATATTGCTTTGTAATTTGTATTTCGTACCAAAATTTTAACTATTGCGACTTATTTCTTTTAACTATTATTATTATTATTATTGAGAACGAACAACTCAAACTCACAAAGCATACCATATCAACAATAGCTTCAAGAAAGTCTATCATAAGCTAATCCTCTGCTTTACTGAAAAATGAAATAATGTTTAAATTTAATCTTAATTATACATGCACAATTTAATAGTTAAATCTATTTTTTTATTTTTGTAGGAAGTAATATCCTTTCACCTCTATATCTTTACACATATGCATGTTATTAAAATAATGAGTAAAAAAGTATTATATTTAATATAAATAAAGAAGTTAAATAACGTACAAGTGATAACCACTTATAGTCATAACCATAAGATTTTGAACTAAGTATAATATCAAAGTGTATTTATATAATTTACTTTTGCCTCATTTATAATTTACTCCTGGTATCAAAACAATAATCCATGTGAATGGATCCTTCTATTGGAAACTTTTTTGGGCCCAAGTGAGAAAGACTCACATATTGATAGCTTTAAGATTTGAAATTGGGTATAATATTATAATCTAATTTGGATAAATTTTTAGAAAAATTAGAAACAAAATTAATATAAAAAAATAAATTTTCTTTTATAAATTAGAAATAATTTGTGTTTCTCTATTTTTTAAGAAGTTCTTTCATTTAACTTTTTAAAATTTTGAGAAAATAAGTTGTTCTGAACTTATAATTTTTTTATATTAATTTTTCATACAAGTTTTTTTTTTTCGTAAAATTTATTTAAAGTAAACTTAAGTTTAGTTTTATGATTTTTTTTTTATAAAAGTTCTCTTTGATATTTTAGTCTCCTCGTATGCCAAACACATGTATACATATATATATACGTGTATCTAAATCTATTGCAAGTAATTTTTTTTTTCTAGTATGAGGGTCAATGTTTTAAAAGAAAGATTAAAAATTAATAGGAAAGAAAAAAGACTAAAATTTAAATAAAGAAGATGGAACGTGACTCCTTCTATCATTCTGCACCTGCATATTTGTATGTTTTGTTTTATTAAAGACAAAAAAAACCAATAATAACGAATTTTTTTAAATAATTGTTAATTATAGAATATGAAGTCGTGAATCATTAGAAAATAATTATAATTGGATGAAAAATGTTTATATTTTTAACTATACTTATTTTAAAATATTTAATTGAATAATAATACCTAAATGTTTCAACAAAAAATACATTTTAATTTTTTTTACTTTGTACACATATAACATTAAGTTCTCAGAGAATAAATAATATCCATAATATATTAAAACAATTAGAATAGATTGGGAAAAGGAAAGGGGCAAACATGGGAAGTGAGAAAAGTTGGAAGCTCAGTCATGGCAACATTATCCATAGAGAAAGGATGAGATGGGTCCATTATGTGGACAAACTTTGTTAAAATAATCCAAATTAATTGAGTTGGGTCAAATGAAAACAAACCCAATTGGTTGCCGCCAAGTTTGGTTAGCATAGGCATCGGCAAGCACTGTGCAATCGTGTCAAGTGCTGCAACCAAACTTACGCATATAGACATTACATTACGCATCACATGTCTATTATCATTTGTCGACATTTCGCACATGTCATAGATCAACACCTATAATTTTCAAGTTTCGTTATTTTTTTCTACATCTCTTTCTAATAATCTTTCTACTTAGTAAAATTAATATTAAATAAAAATATACACATATTTATCATCTTAAAATATTTAAAATATTATAAATATAAAAAAGTAGGATATAAAATTAATAATTTGCCTTTATGCATTATTTGTCGCCAGAACCAATCATAAGGTTCCCTGAACTACTTCCTTCAACGGGAAGGCACCGGAATAAACCAGAAACATATACAACGAATGTGCGTAATTATATTTTTGTGAATCAGATCCGCTGCAAATTACCTTTTTTTTTTTGTTAATTACGTATTTTGACCATAAAATTTTGTTAATCTCAACTTTCACACTTGAATTTAAAGGTTAAAACTAATAATATTTTTTATTAAAAATATTTATTATATTAAAATATGAAAATATAATAAATATTTTTTAATAAAATTTTATTATTATTAGTTTTTTAAATTATGAAAAAAAATTAATTCTTGAAATTATTAAAAATTAATCATATAGTTCATAAAATTGTAAAATTAATCATTTTAATTTCTAAAATTATAGATATATGTTAATTTAGACCCTAAAAATATATATAAAAAAATTAGTTCCTAAAATTATAAGAAATTATTTATTCTATTCAATTTAATCTATAAAATTATACACACTATTCAATTTAATCTTTGAAATTCATTTAAGTATGGCATTAACACTTCATTTAGCACAGTAAGACATTATTAGATGAATTAAACAGAAATTAGTCAAAAGAACTAAGTTTTTTTTTTCAAATATAATTTTAAGAACTGAATTTTTTTTTATAATTTAGGGGGTTAAAATGAATAATTTTTAAGAGACTAAAAATTTTATTTCATAATTTTAGGCACTATATTGAACGGTGCATATAATCTTAGGTACTGAAATGATTAATTTCTTAAAATTTTAGGGGACTAAAAATTTATTTTCATAATTTTAGGGACTCATAAATTGATTAATATCTATAATTGAAAGGATTTAAATGACTAATATTATAATTTTAAAGATTAAATTGGTTGTTTTCTAATAATACTTTTAAAGCTAGATTTTTCCATTTATGAGTCAAATTTAGAGAAACCAGGACGTAGGCATCGTAATACTGGATTTAACCTGAGAATTGAGCAAAATAATTAAATTGGGAACTACTGTTGTTGTTATGGTTGATTGATTTGATTTTGGGATTTGGTATAGTTTAGAAAACATAATCTGTTTAGTGTATCTTAATTCTCTCTAAATCCAAGTCTACCGGCCTCACAAATATGATTGGTTCTTTACTTTTTAATCTAAGGACAAAAATTAGTAACGAGTCGATGTCCATTGTGATTGCTAAACCTCATCGTCCGTAACCAACAATTATATCTTTCCAATAGGCCAATTCCATAAGTATCTAAGAAAAAGCTAATTAAACCTTAATTTACAAACTGAATGAATAATTAAGCTAGAGTTCATAAACCCATGGCATGACATATAATAGGTATGATTGCAATTGTCTTATTAAATGTTCAATGGTTTGGTTATAATTAGGCGTAAGTTAAATATTTGAATTTCAAGATTGACTTACAGGGAAAGAAACTTGAACTTACTCATTATCTTAAATGAGACAATTGCAAAGGTTGAGATTGGCTTAGTTATAGTTTTAGATTGAGCAGGGTCACCTATTTGTTTATAAGTAAATATTTTGATCTAATCATGAGAAACTCTTGGGTAATCTTGTGACTAAATGTCTTCTTATGGAACCATAATAGTAGAACAATAGGAATACTTAAGTGTTTTGTCTTTGTAACTGTAATTCTACTTTTAATTTGTTCATATCAAGTGGTTTGTCTTATCATGCTTTGGTTATGTAATTAAACATTAAGAGTGGTCGTTGAGCTTGAGGTATCGTGGGTGACAAGGAAGTTGTTGCCCTACCTATGAAGGCACTAGGAGTGGCGGAAGACCCATGTGGGGCAGGGGTGGAAGTTTGGGGACTTGGTGGAGACAACTAAAGAGGGTTCATTGTTGCTAGTATGTGTATCAAAATAACACATCATATATTATTAGGGTGAAAAGATAAATATCAAAAGCTTGCTATATTCTGCCAATTTTTGGGCCATTCAGTGGACGCAACTCATGAGACCATTGTGAATTGTCCTTAGTAGCTACTTTAACATATAGCAACACAGCATATATGGATTTTCCAGATTGTTTCCATAGGCTCTAAGGTATAGATAGCTTATACTTGCTTAACATAGAATTGTTTAACTAAAGGCGCCCTATAACTCCTTTCATGTAGAATGATATCGCATTATTCTCTTCCTCAGCAAAAAAAATTACTAACAAAGAAGGCAAAATGAAGCAATTTAATGCACACATAATAGCCTAAAAATTAAGCACGCCGCTTTTGCATTTGTGTGATCTTGGAAAATTTATATAAGCATCGGAAAACTTTCCCTATATACAACGCATCACCTAATATATATACTGCTCCAATCCCTGACAAAATAGATCTAGTATAAACATAATCAGACTATTAAGGCCTGATTAATGGAACAGAGGCTAGGAGTTTGCAAAATCAAACTCCTCAAATTTCATAATCTATGTCTGTTACATTCTTTGATGCAGCATGCTTAACCAATTGCCCTTGTTCATTGTACTGATCAAAGTTCTCACAGGGAGCAGGAAAAATGGTACCTATTACTTGACCTTGGACAAATGCACACTGGAAGATATGCTTCTTCTTGTAGGTTATCCCAACCTTCATATCTTGAAAAGTTACATTTTTAACTGGAATATGTTCACTACCTTGAATGCGTACTGGAACACGAACTCCCTTGCCACGAATAGTAGTGAAGCTTATGTCTCTGAGTACTGGTAGTGCTCTAGGATCATATCCACTATCAGGGTGTTGATTATAATCTGTCTTGATAACAATTCCAACACGAACATTCTTAAAGATTAAATTTCTGAAAGCTATTTGTCGCACATATCCTCCTCTTCCAGGTGCGGTTTTGATCCTCATGGCGCGCTTTGATTCCCATACAAGTATGTTCTCCACAAGGACATTGGATACTCCACCAGACATCTCACTGCCTATTGAGATGCCAGCACTGTTGCATTTCACACAAACAAGTCCAAGTTCAATTACTAAAGTATGAAAGATCTCACTACCTGATAAGATACTAATCAATATGCATTTAACATATGTTTGCTACTTGGCTTCCATGAGAGAGGTTGTCTTGTCTCATTTACAAAAGGATTGAAAGGAAAAAGAAAAGGTTCCAGAGAAAATTTCAATCAACAGTAAACATCATAATCAGTTTTGTACAAGAGAATTTATTTAGCATAGTAGGATAACCAAATCTCAAAACTTGTAGTCAACTATGGTATGTAATACATGAATGTGCTTGTCTTCTATTGCTCCACGTGTATTGAAAGGCATAGATTAGCCAATGAGAGAAAATATGGTGATGGATAAAACGAGGACTATTCCACGATTCATAACAACAGGAAAATTAAATGCTTAAAATATATGTTTCATTGAGTAATCATATTTTCTAACATTACTAAAGAAACAGCAATACATGACTGCAGCATGTGAATAAACATGATAAGCGAACAATAAGATGTTGAAAGACATGCAATAAGTACAAGTGGCTTGAGTTAGGAATTGACTTAACCTGACATTAGAGCGAACAACAAGGTTTCGAATTACTATATTCCTTGAAGGCCTTCCATAAGTAATTCCATATTGATCCCAACCACTTTTTATTGCAATTGCATCATCCCCCACACTTATGAAACAGTCCTCAATTAACATATCTTCACAAGAATCTGTTTTTATAATAGAAATTGGGAATTCTAAAATTCTTTGTACAAACATTTAATAATTTGAAGTAGGGGATATAAATAACCAGCATATCATACATTAAAATAATGAAATATATAGTACTTTGTAGAAGATATTTACCAGGGTCTATGCCATCAGTATTTGGAGCATGAGATACAGGAGCCAATATTGTAACATTTTTTATCGTGACATTTTTGCAGTCATATGGATGAAGTGTCCAGAAAGGAGAGTCACGCAAAGTAATGTTTGAGATTACAATGTTACTAGACCACAATATCTGAACAAGTGGACCCCTTGTATGGTTTAGAAGCTTCTGGCGATATTTTGTCCACCATGTTTGTCCCTGTCCATTTATGGTACCATTGTGCCCTGTCAATCACGTAAACTTTGAGATTATGTATTGCACAATCCTGATCTTAGGTGGCTCCTAATTAGTTCATCGTGCTTATTCTCTGTGTTACTTTATATTGTTCATCTAGCGCAAAACAAGTTAATTTCAAAACAAACAAATGAATTTTAGTTACTCACATACTTGTGGGGTACCAAATTTAAGGTATTTGGGGATGATTGATTGAACAATCAGTTTTAAATTCATTATGATTGATGGTATTAAACAAATATTTACAAACATACTTTTACAGCTTCCTTTTTTAATTTAGGTTCAATAAATTGCCTCATTTGCTACCAACATAAATTCATCCCAGTTAGGGAAAGGCTAAGATAGCCTAAATATTTGTTCAAACAAATACAACAATATAAAGATCACCATGAGCACACATAGGCGTTTGATACTAAGTAAACACCATTCCCTTAAAGATAATATGACGAATTTTATTTATTTCTTTTGACAAGTTAGAAGAAGCAGGAAAAAGCCTCACCTGTTATGACAACATCTCTAAGATTTTGACCATGAATCAAACTGCTGTATCGAGGTCCAATGTGCTCCCTTCCATACCCGTATGAAGGCAATGCAGGCATCAGTGGCCAATACTTCTCATCCTGTTAATCATCACACAAGATGACAAATATAATGTAAGTAAGAATTTTAATTAAGAGAGTGTGTGTCCCTACAAAAAAAAAGGGGTGAAAAGAAACATGTAAAGCAAGAAAGATAGAATTAAAGCAGAACAATAGCACCCAAAAGATAAACGATAAAATTTAGTAGAATGCATAATCTAATGGGTAAGTTTGTAGCTGCCTAAGTAGTCATAACAATCATTAATTCGTTATTATTATCAAAAGATTGTAAAAAATGAATATTCCATCAATGGTGGTAGTTCATTTGTGAACATTTTCGTACAAAACTTTTTTTTTTAAATAAAAAATATTTTCGATCTAAAATAAAACAGTTAATGAGATGCCTTTTCAAGTAATCATAATCTTTAAATACTGTTTTAAAGAGTTTTGCAATATATTTTTTCATTATCTTGTAATGGTTTTTTTTACTATTTTATAAAATTAGTATTAAATAAAAAGTATACATATTTATCATCTTAAATGTATAAATATACTTAATATTTTTTATTTAATAACTAGAAGAATTTACAAAAATAAAATGTAAAATGATTTAAAATTTTTCTTGCTTTAAAGAAAAATAAAATAAAATCTAACAGTTCCATTATTTGATTATTTATATCCATCACTCTTTTAACACATCCATTTCTTCCCCTCACGACCAAGAAAATATCATTATCATGATAATACAAACTAAAGAATACAATATAAATTGATTTTAGCCAATACTCTCACATCACCGGTTAACGAGATTGTCAAGTATGAAAAAAGAAACAGAAAAGGAACCTGAATTGCGAGAATGACAGAATCCTGAGCAAGGAAAAGAGTCATGTGACTTGTGAGATTAAAGGGTGCTGTGAGCCAGCGACCAGGTGGCACGTTAAGCTGTGCGCCACCCTCTTTTCCAAGCTTTGATATCGCATCAATGGCTCTCTCAAAGGCCTCAGTGTTAAGAGTGACCCCGTCACCAACCCCACCAAACTCCCTCAAATCAAAAACCACTGGTCTCAGCATCGGCACCGAAACACCACCCAACACCAAATACCCACTTATTGCGTTCCTCTGCCACACCATCACCGACGCCAACGCCGCAACCCACAGGAACCCAAACAGGGTCTTGTGAGACGCAAATGGCGTCGTTTTGGAGTGGAACTGCATCCACCCATGTATCCATGACCCTGACACTGAACTCTCCACCATCCTTCAGGTTTCAAACAAACACCACAACACAAAACGGTTACGTGGGTTGCTTCAGAACCCGTCCTTTGAATAAGGATTAAGAAAGTGAGGTTTCTAAGTTTGTGTTTCTGAGGTAGGAAATCGGAGGTTGTATGATGGAGTGCTTTCAAAGCGAAGCACTGCCAAAGGTGAGGTTGAAATGAAAACGACAGGGGACTGCGACGGAAAGATACATTTGCTACGACAACGGATGCCACCAATTGCAAGCAAAACTATTATGGTTGTGGTTCATGAAACAGCTTTCAGAGAATTTGGAACTTCAAGTGGCACGTCGTCGACAGTTATATATCATTTTTACGGTACATAAAATATATATAATCTATTATGATACCGATACCCGGATATAGAAACTTTACGTTATTAATTCAATTTTCAACCTTTCCAGATTTATTTATCGTGTTTGTAGTTATTTATAATGATTTTGTTATTTTTCTTGCATAAAATAGTTTATTATTTTAATGGCTCGCATACTTGACATAAAAATTGGCTTCTTAAAATAAATTAAGGAAATATAAATTTATTTTTTTAAAATTTTAAAACAATATTAACTATTATCTTTTTAATCATGCTGGCCTTTTAAATATTTTATACACTGATATTAATGAAAGAGAAATAATAGCGTAAAAAGGCACGTTAGGAAGTTAAAAAAATGATTTTAATATAAATAAAGATATTAATTACATTACCTAATATTTATATGTTATCCTGCAGACAAACAAACAAATATAAAAGAAATAACCACTAATTTCGCATTTGCGAAAATTTATCAAGCAATAAAGATTCTGTTGTTTATATCAAAGGAGAAAAAAATATAATTATAATTGAAACAAAAAAAAATCAAATACTTGATTATATTTTAAATAATTATCTATTCCACTTTCTGTATTGGGAAAAATGATCCAACCAACTTAACGAAGCTTCCCCTTGAGGTTAGTTCGCCAAATTCATTGATGTCCTGTTCATAAGAACTATTATTTATTTTCCTTTGAAAGTCAAATACAAACTTAACTTAGGGATGTAATCATCGGAACCACTACTTGATATTAGTATGTTGCTGTTATTGTATTATTCAATACAATACGAATTGAGAGTTGTTAACGAAAATCTGTTGATAACTTTAATGTACATGTCAATTAGTTCCTCATGTCAATGATATTTTCTTGTCACTTTATTGCTTATTCAAAATCACACAAAGTTATAATCATTGTATTATGAATTTACAATAATCAATATTGCATCAATATCTTTCTTTTGTTATTCATGAAAAGAGCTTAAGTAGTCATCCATCCTGCATCACGTATGTTCTTCAACTTGCCACACGTTATTAATATTAAAGGCATCACAATTTCATAAATACTACAATATTATGCTATCTAATTATTTTTAGAAGAAAATAAACATTTTTATAGGCTTAAGTGTGAAGTATAACGAATGTCACAATTAGGCTTTAAATAGGAACTGCAAATGAAACGTAACGTCCTTTATTGCGGTATGATGAAGTATGAGAAAAGTGGTGAAGGGTTCCTTTCACAGATTTCAAAATTCTCAACAAACACAACTACATAACATTAATCCACTAATCTTATTTGCACATCAGCAATAGACTAACATATATATATATATATCAATCATTTATACTCCCTACGTTACCACGCAAGCAAATATTAGTTCGTCAAATCACCAACGTCACTATTTTTTAACATACAATTCTTATAAACATTTTTTCACCATTATTTTTCACTACAACTAATTAATTCACTTATCAAATCATTTTCTATTTGGGAAAGGATAGAATATACATATTCTTATCCAAACTTAATCAATATTTTTTTTACGGATTGGGTTTTTTGTGGCGTTGCTGAGTGAGGACTCGGCGCTATATTCGACAAAAATAACCCACACGTCTGGGCTTAATTCTCTGCTTCAAGCCCATATATGGGTTTTCCTATTTGTTTTTATAGTTTTATACAAAAAAAGGTTTACCAATAAAAAAATTAAAGATTAAATTAAACCCCTAATTTAGTGCTTCAATTATTAGTGTTGGGCCTTTTTTATATACAAAACAACAATTTAAGTGTACTAAATATTTATTTTATTATTTTTATAAAAAATAATAAAAATACAATAAATATTTTTATAAAATTAAAGATTAAAATACAAATTTATAAAATTCAAGAATAAAGTGATTAAAGTTTATACGTTTAGTGAATGTTTAAAAACAGGGTAAAAAAAAGTATGAATCTATATTAAAATGACAATTTACTGGATTAAATAAATTGATCTTAGGGGGAAGTTCTCATATCCAGGGCACGTGTGAATTTGAAATACCCCCATTGGGTCTTCTTAGAAATTTTTGGTTCCTAGCAAATGTGACAACTTATCCAACATCCAGATATAGCAGATAAAGCGATAAAAGCGTTCCATTTTCCACCCAAGAAATTTTGTGCCACAGCAGTAGCTTTGGTTTTGACCTTTCTCTCTCTGATTCATGGCTTTAGCCATTTCGTCGACCGCATTGTCTACTCTTCCAAACAGGTCTTTCCCTTTTGGCTCAACCACTTCCACTGCTCTTCTTAATTGCTACTTAAACTTAACACTTTGCTTTCTTGACGCAGAGAAATACGTAAAAAGGTTTTCCCCGAAAGCACTGTGACATGTCTGAGGTTGACCAAAAGAACCTTAACAAATGCAACAAAAGGAGTGTCAGATGTGTGTGAGCCACTTCCACCAGATAGGCCATTGTGGTTCCCTGGTAGTTCACCTCCTCAGTGGCTTGATGGCAGGTAACCCACTTTCAACTTATTTTCTGTTTATTTCTTTACCCATATTCTTGCTTTTTACTTTTTTGGTATAGCTAAGGTTCTATAAATAGAAGATGATTTAAGAAAAAAAAAATATTGAGCATGGGTATTTGTCTTTAATTGTTTACAGCCAAAATGATCAGTTGGGCATAATTGTTTAATTTTCTGCCTATTGCAGTCTTCCTGGTGATTTCGGTTTTGACCCGCTTGGATTAGGTATGTGTTAATTTTGCTATGGACTTCAAAATGGTTCAGTGAGGAATTCAAATCACTGGTTCTAGTTTCCATTAAAAAAATAAATTTTCAGCTAAAAAATGATTAAATTAAAAAATTGATCCTTACATTTAATGCTATTTTTCCAATCCTTTCATAGAAAACTTTTATAAGAACTAAAATAAAAAATTTATATAAAGTATATGGATTAAAATTTTAATTTAACAAAATATTGATGCCAAAAAAGAGAATGATATTTTGTTAAGGTGTGATTATAAAATTGGTTGAACATGGTATGAGGCAAGAAATAGGTTGCATGTGATTTGGGTTCTCACATGTAGTTGTGGTTGATTAACATGTTGCCTACATTTGCTTTTGTTCTGTTTTGATCAGGGTCTGATCCAGAATTGCTCAAATGGTTTGCTCAGGCAGAGCTAATGCATGCTAGATGGGCAATGCTTGGAGTGTTTGGGATCCTCATACCGGAATTGCTTGAAAAGATGGGTTATATTGAGAAGTTTTCTTGGTATGATGCTGGTGCACAAGAATACTTTACAGACCCCATAACCTTGTTCATTGTACAAATGGGCTTGATGGGCTGGGTTGAGGGTCGAAGATGGGCTGACATGATTAACCCAGGATGTGTTGACATTGAGCCCAAACTGCCACACATTACAAAGCCCAAGCCAGATGTTGGTTACCCTGGTGGGTTGTGGTTTGACCCTTTGATGTGGGGACGAGGATCACCTGAGCCAGTGATGGTGTTGAGAACTAAGGAGATCAAGAATGGTAGACTTGCAATGCTAGCTTTTGTTGGCTTCTGTTTCCAAGCTATTTATACTGGGGAAGGCCCCCTTGAAAATTTGATGGCACACATTGCTGATCCTGGTCATTGCAACATTTTCTCGGTAATGTTTCATTGCTTCACTTCATTCCACTATCTTTTTGATTCATGTTCTCCCTCTATTCTTGTAGATTTTCTAAAATTATAATATTTACCTTAGTTTCTAATTTTCATATGACTCACTCACTTTAATACTTTACTTTATAATGTTATGAAATTTCTTTTACTTGTTCCGTAATATTAACAAAATCATATAATAAAAAGTATTGAAGTAAAAAAAATTATAACATTTTTATAAAATCATGAATTGAAATAAATTTTTCTATAAAATTATGGTTAAAATACACAATACTTGTAATGCCAGAGACTAAAACTGTGATTTACTCAATTTCAAACTATTTGTATTGTTAATACAGCAATTAGTGTGAGCCACCACACCACAATATTTGCTTACACAAAAAGTTACGTGAATGAGCATGGTAGTGACAAATTTTCACTTGTGCAGGCTTTCACATCGCGGTAGTGCTATTTGAAGAAAAGAAGATATGCGTCCTGAATGAACATGGCGTAATGCTACTACACCAGCAATATGCATTATATACTTTGAAACATGTATTTTGTTTCCTAATCCGAGCTTTACAATTGACACAAAGTTTTGATTCTTTTAAACAAAATGAAATTACTATCCCTTTCTTTTTTTACTCTCTAACTTTCAATTAGGAGAATTTTGTGAATGGCATGGATCATTTTCTTCGGATAAATAAAACCTGAAACGTAATGAAGTTAAAGGATGTATCAAATAGCCAAGCTCACTCACTCTGAGGTTCATGAGAAGGTAAAACGTAAGAATCGATCCTAACTACTACTAAATTCATGATAATCAAGTAGTTTGTGAAGACTTATAGTTCAACCTACTTAAAAAATGAGTCAGAAAAATAATTTTTTAGAAGCGTAATTAGTTAAAAAGATTAAGTTTGTGTCATATAGACAGCCTGTTTATGTTAGTAGAAGCAGTAGTAGTATTAAATTCATAATGGTTCATTAGCCTTATAGAAATATTTTTATTAACTTGGGTGATTAATATGGAATTTAACTTGAAATGCATGTGAGACTTGGTCAATGCAATTGAACCAAAATAGGAAGGAATTGAAGGAGAAGCATGTGGAGTGGAACCTTAATCTATTCTTAGAATTTGACAACATTTCTGGCAAAACACCCTATCATCACCAATCCCCCTCTGTCAAACACCACACACAAACACAAACCCACACAGAGCACCACCAACATGACACAACGCTTCCCTTTGGCAACCAAAAACCAAAAAACAAAAAAAAGGAGGAAAAAAAGGAAGCCCCAGAGAAGGAGAAGAAGAAGATCAACAGCAACAGCCTTAATCTCTTGGAGCAGCGGTCCAATATTACTAGACCGAACAACCAATGGCCGCTGTTCATGTCCTTTTCCCTCTCTACCTCTTCCTCTCCCTTTCCCTCTCTTCCTCATTGGAAACCCAATCCCTCCTTAAACTGAAACAATCCTTCACCAACGCCGACCAATCCCTCTCCTCATGGATCCCCAACGTGTCCCCTTGCTCTGGCCCCTGGCTTGGTGTCGTTTGCTTCAACAACATCATCACGGGCCTTCACCTCTCCAATTTGGGCTTATCGGGCCGAATCGACGTGGATGCTCTATCTGAGATTCGCGGCCTTCGAACCCTTAGCTTCGTCAACAACTCATTTTCAGGCCCAATCCCAGAGTTCCACAAACTGGGGACCATCAAATCCCTCCTCCTGACCCAAAATGATTTCTCCGGGCCCATTCCTTCTAACTTATTTTCCTCCTTAAATTCTCTCAAGAAATTGTGGCTCTCTGACAACAATTTCTCATCCAACATCCCCGATTCCTTAACCCAACTCGAACTCTTAAAAGAATTGCACCTTGAAAACAACCAATTCTCAGGCCCAATCCCGCAGTTCAAGCAAGACCTGTCATCATTCGACGTCTCCAACAACCACCTCGTAGGCCCAATTCCCGACAGCTTAAGGAAGTTTAGTGCCACGTCATTTACCAGAAACGATGGGCTCTGCGGGAAGCCTCTGGACCAGAGTTGTGACGATTCATCTTCTTTTTATTCATTGCCGAATAATGATAAGAATGACAGTGGATATGGGTCGAGTTGGGCTATTAAGGTGATAGTTATATTGGTGTTGGCGGTTGTTGCGGCGGTTATTTTTCTATTCACCAAGTCGAGGAAGGCAAAGGAAGATGATTTCAGTGTGGTGAGTAGGAACAGCGAAGTGGAAGAGGTGGTGCATGTGAACGTGAGTAGTGTGAAGCCAAGTGCACCTGTGAGGAAGGAATCGAGGAGAGGGGTTTCAAAGAGTGGGGGTATTGGAGATATTGTGATGGTCAATGAGGAGAGAGGAGTATTTGGGTTGCAAGATTTGATGAAAGCTGCTGCCGAAGTTTTGGGGAATGGAGGGTTGGGATCGGCTTATAAGGCTTCAATGGCCAATGGGTTGTGTGTTGTTGTGAAAAGGATGAGAGAGATGAATAAGATGGGGAAAGATGTTTTTGACGCAGAGATGAGACAGTTTGGGAGGATTAGACACCAAAATGTTTTGTCACCTTTGGCTTATCATTACCGTAGAGAGGAGAAGCTTTTCATCACTGAGTACATGCCTAAAGGAAGCTTGTTATATGTCTTGCATGGTATCACTATCTCGTTCTGTTTTAATCTAATCATGTTTGCTTCATCTCTAGTTGGGGTGGCAATGGGATAAATAACACATGGTTTGTTTATACAAGATACTAGGTTGAAAGAGATACAAAGCGAGAGAAAATAAATTTATAGATGTGATAAAGTTTTTTAAAAAATTGATAATTTCATACTTCAGGGATAGATAGGAGGATAGGAGAAAGTATGTGATGAGCGTAGAAGGAGGATATAGATAGAAAAAGTATAAGGTGAGTATAAAATTAGGATATGAAAAAATCAAGATTAAATGATAATTATAATTTATTACTCTTGGGAAGGGGGGATATCACATGATAATTTAATTACACATCTAATTACAAGATATAATTTTAATTATACCCGTCCTTGAATAATGCAAATTGTATTTGTGGTCAGGTCTATAAATATGTATTTGATATAAATATTTTGACTAGTAAAAACACATTTAAGGACTTTAAGCATAATTTCTATCATCCAGAGACTAATATATTATTAATCTTAACTAGAAACAGTAATTTATTGAGGAAAGTAATTGTAACAATGTGGAGATAGGATGAGTTGTGTGAAGAAGGGGGTGTGTTAAGTTTAAGGGTAATAATATAATTTGATAATTAAACAAAAAGTTTTCATTCTATTCCTCCTAAATTAGAGGAAAAGAAAAAAAATGAAAGAAGGTGATGAAGTTGGATGGAATGGTTATTTAGTTCTATTCCATTGTTTTCTTACAATTCAAATAATGAAACATAATTATATTTTTATTCTATTTCTTTTCATTCCATCCTTTCCACCAATTCAAATATAGCTATATAGCAAACCAAAAACTTGGTTAAATGACATCATTATTTAACTGTCCTATTGAACCATATTCTTAATAGCTTCTAATTAAAAAAATTTACTCGAAAGGAGTTATATTTGTGTACATCACATAATTAAGTCTCTTCCTCTGATGTTGTTATTATTATTTGGAGTGCAAGTGCAATGTACAATATATTATGACAAGGAATGTGTCATTATGTTTACTCAGGTGATAGAGGACAATGCCATTCTGAATTGAATTGGTCTACACGTTTGAAGATTGCTAAGGGAATTGCAAGAGGGTTGGGCTTCCTTTGCACTGAATTTTCTACCTATGACTTGCCCCATGGGAATCTCAAGTCCAGCAATGTTCTACTAACTAATGATTATGACCCTCTCTTAAGTGACTATGCTTTTCATCCAATAATAAACCCAAGTGTTGCTGTGCAAGCATTGTTTGCCTATAAAACCCCAGATTACATACAATGCCAGAAAGTGTCAAAGAAAACTGATGTTTATTGCCTTGGAATCATCATTCTTGAAATTGTCACTGGGAAGTTCCCTTCTCAGTATCATAGCAACGGCAAGGGTGGGACTGATGTTGTGCAATGGGTCCTCACAGCAATATCTGAGAAACGAGAAGCAGAATTGATTGATCCAGAGTTACAAAACAATACAAACTCACGCAATCAAATGTTGCAACTTCTCCAAATAGGTGCTGCTTGCACAGAAAGCAACCCTGACCAAAGACTACCCATGAAAGAAGCTATTAGACGGATAGAGGAAGTACAAGTTTAAAGATAATATGTCAATACGTTAGCTTAGTTCAAGTCCCTTTTGTAGGTGAGAATTGCAAGCCTTGAAAATGTTACAATCTGAGATCTTCATCCAATGCTCAACCATTTTACTGAATGATCTTCAAAGAGAAAAGTTGTAAGCACTAAACAGTGATTTTATGCAAGAGAAAACAAAAAACTGTGGAGAAAGTTAGGAGGGTATGATATTTTTGGAACTTGATAGTTTGGAGCGTTTCTCATGTTTATGTCCTTTTAGAAAGAACAAAATGTCAAAACTCCAAGCTTTAGCCTCTTTATGCTAATATCGGTCCATGAAAAGTGGGTGCAATTCTCATAAAATCATTTTTGGACAACATTCCTCAAAGTTAAGACTTAAATTATAGTGATGAAAAGCTAATATTGCAAAATCTTTTGTAGTTTTTATCCAATCATTTCTACAAAAATATATATACGGTTTGCTTATATTTTCTCACGTATTCCTCGTTCAATATGTAAAATTTTTATATTTTATATATTAATCATCAATACGAAGTGCTTTATGAAATGCCCAATTTTCAAGTCTTGCCATTTTTTTTTCATTTCATATGCTGCGCATAATTGGATGTTAACAGAAGAAGAAAATAGACCGAATGAGACCGTAGCTCCTCATGTGCTAGATCACTATAACATCGACCGATCGAAATTTTTTAACTACTCTTTAGAGCAAGAAAAAATGTACTGTTTATTGCATGTCGCATTTAATTTCGTAAGTCATGATTGTCTTTCATTCTAATAATATCTTTAATTTTATAACAATTATTAACGTGACATGCATTAAAATTGTGCGAAGCAAGAACGTTTTCTTGCTCCAATAACGGGTAAGAATTTTTCCCTCACAAAGTACAAGTTGGTAGGTGTTGTAGGTGGAGATGTCACAACATTCCAATCCAGATTCCAAAGTCTAACGTCACTTAACCGATTTTCATTCTTAAAAAATTGTCTTCACGATTAGTTTATTTTCTTCGTCTCCTTATTTGTCCCAATAAATAGAGGAGAGGAGAAAATTCTTCAAGTTCACTTAGTTTCCAAAAAAATAAAAAATAGTTATAGCTAGATTTTAATTAATTTTAAGAAAAAATTCACTTTTTTCCCTTTAAAAAGTTGACTAAGAAGATATGAGTTCTTTTAGACGATACAAGATAATCTAATTTACCCGTGAATATTCAAATCACCAAGCTTTTTTCCACTCAATTTATTATGATTAACATATATCATTTTAGTCTAAAAAATTGTAAGAAAAATCAATTCTTAAAATTATAAGCACACATCAATTTAATCCTAAAATTATAAAAAATAAATTTTAATCCTTAAAATTATAAAATATTAATAATTTTAGTAACTGAAATTATAAATACCAATCAATTTAATCCCTAAGATTATAAAACAGAATTTTAGTCACTAAAATTATTAGAAAATGATCATTTTAATCAATAAAATGATTTATTTATGATAATTTCAAGGTCTAAAAAAACTTTTCTATAAGTTTAAGGACTAAAATGATATTTTTTTTTATTTTATGGACGAAAATAACCAATTTTTAATAATTTCAGGATTAAAAGTGATTCTTCATAATTATAAGGACTAAATCGACAAGTGTTAAACTTGTAGGGACTAAAATAATATATTACTCAATTTATTATACACCAGTGAGCTGGTATGAGAAACGCTTGGAGGAAGCAGCTTAGGCACTTGATAGCAAAACCATACATATAATAGGCACGATCCAATGGTTAATTCTTGTTGCAGAAAGCACAAACTAAAAACAACAACAATATTCTTAAAAAGGCATAGTAAATGAGCACAAACATCGTAATCATCTTCCCTATATCTGATTTTCTAAAAGCAAACTAGAACTAAAGAGCTCACTAACATGCCCCAAGATGCATTAGCACAAAATCCACATGCAACAACGGGTTAGTTGCTCTACAGAGAAGCCAAAAGGTCATTTTCTTTTTGACCTTGCTTTTGCTACAAAAAAACTTTCACGTATTCTGTATCGTATCCAGCTAGAAGACAAATGAAATGTGCATCTATCATCATACTTATTCTTTCATTCCACTCAGTATCCAATTTGTGTCACAGCTGCATTAAAATTTGCAGATGGGACCAGCTTGGTTATTAAGATGCCACTAGTTTTAATCGAAATCAAGGAATTCCATCCTTTTCCTCATGCTTCCCTTTAGATCACTGGCATCCTTTTCAACCTTTTGGGCCTGAAAAGTGGAGCAAGTGAAATAAAATTAATTAATGCGCAACATAGAACAATAATGAATGAGCTTGCCACCATGTTATTTGCCAAATAGGTGCACAGGGTTTCTAGTTTTTTCAATTGGGGATTCTTCTTTGGTCAGAAAAAGGTGGGGGAAGAAGCTGCACAATCAATAAAAAGAGCAATGATAGGAATTGTGTTTCCTATAAGAAACAAAGGCAGAAATCTGATTTATGTTTCGCTCGTAAAGAGATTGTTGTTAGTAGGAATTGTCACTCATATATGGCAACTTATATTTATACTGTATATGTGATATTGCTAGCAAAACATCAAATCTCTTCCATCCTTTCTTTTTTGGACAAAAGAATAATTGATTTCAGGACATTATAGACAACAGGAGGACTCCCAAGTCCCTTTGCATGTTAGACACCCATGAGCAGAAAACCAATAGGGAGTTAAAGGTTCTGTTTGATTTGAGAAAATGCTTTCCATTTTCAAAAATCAGTAAATCACTACAAAAATATCACATTGTTTTCACTTGATTTCTTGTTTTCAAATATTTGTATAGGAAATGTTGAAAATAAAAATAAAAAATGGTTGTTTTTACCATTTCTTATATAAATATTTGAATATAGAAAATAAAGTAAAACTAAGGTGGCAATTTTATAATTATTTATAAAAACAGTAAATGAAAACACAAAAAGATTTAAGAACCAAACAGCCTTCAAAAAACAAACTTGCAACATAAAAGTATTTTTCAACCCAAATAATGTTACTTTTCAAAAATATTTACCAAATTACTATTTTTGAACCATTTTAACCCTGCAACGTAGGCCAAACTGGATTTCCTTCTTGATTTGTCACATGAAAATAACTAACTGCATTCGCAATTTTTGACTGCAGATTGCCATTGGCATTGATGACTTTCCACCATCTAAATTATCTTCACATTCAAGGATTTACAAGGCAGCTTTTTCTCATTTTTCTCCTGCTCAATGTTCCTATTCTATTGTGAGCAAACAAATATCTTCAAACAATATGGCATAAAACAAACACAGAGCTTCCAAGTGATGTTGTCCTATCTTTTAGTCCTGCAATTTGTAATTGGGTTCCCCCTGAATACAGAACTTTTCTGGTTGTGCGTGTAACAAGGAACATGTTTTGTTAACCCTCAATACTTCTTTCTTGAAATTTTTTCCACTTCCTTTTTAGAGCTAATACTGATTAATAAAGTTTTTTGGACGGTATTTACAGCTTTTTACTGTCTGCAGAGCCATATACTAGGATGACCTCAGTAAAATTATTTGCATAAATCCAGTTTGTTGCAGCAAATCCTATGGACATCCAACAACTGAGCTTAGCTCAAGTGGAGTGAGCATAGTTACTAGGTATGCAAAAGTACTCTGGTATGAGGTATGGTGTACAGGTACACAGTCCATCACAACTTCGAATTATTATCTCAAGACGTTTGCAAGTTCGCTAAGCAAATCTGGAACCTTTACCTAGGGGCAGGTTGGTGTATGGGAAGAGAGAAAATCTTATGGACCTTCCATTTTATAATAATGTTAGTTTGGTCAGTTTTACTGGTTCCCCAGATCTCTGTTGTTAGATCATTTCTTGTTTACCTAGAGTAATAATTCATCACTTGCACATTATTATATATGGTTTTAGATGGGAAATGGAGGTTGTGGTGCATACACAGCCCATTCAGAGTCATTAATGGTTACATCAATTAATAAGCACTATCTTGAGGGAAGATTTTGGGAAGCCATTAATGGAGAATGGTTGCATTTGTTTGGCTCAGCTCACATATAAGCAGAACTAAATTTCTGTCATTTTTCATTTCCCACCATGATGTTGAAATTTTGGTTAGCATGAAATATTTGTTTTAATGCCAAAGGTAGATACTTCTATTTATAAGTTTGCTGAGAGAAACAAGACTGACAAAGATTTAGTGGATGACTTTAACAGAACTTTCAACGGTGGAGCTGATCCCCAACATTTTGAACTCTTAGAAACTTCATTTCCTACAGAGAATGCTGGGAAACCAAAGAACTTTTAGTGTGAATAAGGAAAATCTGGTGGCCTCAACTAATGAAGTTAAAGGCCCTCCTATGACTTGTGAGGAACCTGAGAAAGTACAGCTGGTAGATTTGAAAGATGTGGCTGCTACACTAGAAAGCACCAGTCTATTTGGCATTTTCTCACTGGGAAAAAGAAGCTAGTGTAGCCAGTAGTTTCCAAACCAAGCCAAAATGGCTGCAGTTACATTTTTTGGGTCAATTAGCCATGTCCCTCACACTCCATCCCAGCCATGGAAAAAAAAATAAAAAATTCCAACACTTCATCAGTAAGAACTACTATAAGATGCACCAAGACCTCTTTATATGCCCAAAAACATTTTGCATACCAGAATTAATTGATCCATGGGCACTCAAAATTATTATGCTAAAATATGAGTGGAAATTCGTGAATATTTGATTGTCTTATTATCAACTAGTTGACGGACTTACCCTTTTTATGTCAACCTCTGACACACAGGTCATATGCAGTGGAAGCTCCTCCATTGCCAAGTCCTATGTAATTAACATAAGATTGCATAATTATTAAGAATCCTTTGACATGTAATAATTTCACTCAAATGAAATGAAATGATGAAGAACACATCATACCAGCTCTCCAATTAAGACAACATTTTCCCCACGAATTACATATAGACCTAAAGGGATATCACAATAAAGATCACCAACAATTACTCTTTCACATGCACCTTCAAGAACAACGTTAGCTGTACATGGTCATCATATCACATTGTTAGCTAATATTAGATGGAAATAATAATATTTTAAATAAATATAGAGACATATTCAAGTAAAATGCATGTAGGATCAATAATTACCAAATTGATCAAAAGAACGTAATAACCCCAAAAGTTTTCGTCCATCTCGCAACAGGACAATAAGCTTTTCTGTGAAAAAAACATAAAATTTAGAAGAAAATCTGATCATTGGGTTCAATTATTTCAATCCTCCCTTTAACTGAAACTAAATATATAAGAAATCAATATCACAGCAAAAAAACACCAAAGAAAAAGAATGAACTAATCCCAGATGAAGTGAACTAAGAATATTTAATTATTTATATGATTGAGTACTTGAACGAATGACTGAAACACACTAAGATTGGTATGATTGATAATCTCCTCCGTGAACACACCATCTCATTCTTCCCCAAAGATGATAACACATAAAAACTCCTGGCATGTCATCCCCTGGGAATAATTGAAAAAATCTTGCTGGGAGCTATATAAATACATCAGTTTCTAAACTGATACTTGTTCACTAATCAAGGGGTTACAGAAGAATTTTCTATTTAAAGTTTTCAGATAAAGGAGAGTTCTACACAATTAAACACTTGTCATACTATTCTACTTTTGGTACACCAAGGAACAATGAAGCTTTGCTCATCATCCTTCCTTGATAAATATGTCTACTACTAGTTCTAATGTATTAAAAAAAATTCTCTTTGGATGAAAACATTGCATTACTCAATCCTTCGTATCATCCAACAATTCATCACTTCATAATGGAGCAGTACCACCACAGAAACATATAATCACTGCAATCCACAATTCTTGTACAAATCCCACAATGAAACAGAGAACAATATTCTATGGATACAAGGAAAAGAAAAATAAAATAACAAGAAAATATGAGGTCAAATTGTCTAATCAGAAAAGATCCACACATGATATTTGAGCTTCAGAATCATGAAAAATATGATACACACAAAGATAGAGAGAGAAAGAGAGAGAGATTCTACTGTCAAGGTATGTAGCAAGCGAGGTGGAGAGCAAGATATCTTCAACGGTAGTCCAAGACATTAAGCCAATTGTCGTGTGGCACCTGAAAAAGAAACCAACTTTGATCCAAAACCTCCTTCAATTTCAATGACACTCCAACCCCACAAGCTCAAACACAAAACATTACAAATTTGTGACCTCTACATGCATTATCACTTTGTTTCTTAAACCTCACAATTTAAACAACAGATAAAAAGAAAAGAAAAGAAACTTTAATAAGAAAAAAGATAAGCCCTTGTTTTATTTTCAATTATCTCATGGTGGGAAGGAGCAAAATAAGACAAAGGAATTAATTGAAAAGCATTTCACATTTTAAAGGAGTTAGGTTGCACCTTTTTAGATCGGCGACCTTGGTGATAGAAAGATCAAAGATTGCTTCTTTTTTGTTCTCTCTCTCTTGTAATGAAATGTATGGCGTAAGAGAGGGAGGGAGACAGTGTAAAAACAAAGCTTGGACTCTTCACTGCCGTTTGACCTTTGAGGCTTTGAGGAGTTTTGTTACTTTGGAAGGAAAAATGGATAAATAACTAAAATGGTAATTTTTTTAAAAAGTATTTATTACTTTTAGAATAAAAATATGATAAATATTATATTTTTAAATAAAAAAAATATTTTTAAATGTTTAAATTCAACCTCAAAAATTAAAGTTAACAAAAACTGCTTTTAAAGCTTTTCTGTATAGCCATTTTTGCTAATAATAAGAAATAGAGTCAAATGAAAGTGGACCTCAATCCTGGACTATCAAATTAAGGAAATTGATATTTTTGCATAAATTATTTTTAAATTTGTATAATTTTATTATTATTTTTAGAATTACAATTTTGGAAATTATTTTATATTTTAAAAAATAAATTTTAGAAAATGGTTATGAAGTGTTTCAAAATTTTAAAATATTTTTTAAATTATGGTTTCTAAATACTAAATTTTAAAAATAGTTTATAATTAAATTTTGAAATATATTATACATTTTAAAAAATTAAATTTTAAAAGAATATAAAAAAAAGATAGGACAGCTAGAAAAAAAAATTGATCCAGAAAATAATCTCTCAAATTGATTCGCCTAAAGTGTTTTTTTCCCAATTTCATCAATTACAGGCACTAGCAAAATGTTCTTATAATCTTCTGGATCAATTACATGCACTAGCAAAATGTTCTTATGTACCTACTCTTTTTGATCCGTGTGCCTGTTAAAAGCAACATAAAATTTGATGTTATTTCTTAAAAGCTTAATAATTTTCAGTTTGATGTCAACTTTTAATCATATTTTTTAACTAATCAGCAATAACTAATTGTCTTTTACGTTACTAATTAATAATATAGATAAAAGTCAGCTTATGTAAGATGTTAGTGCTAAAAGTAATAATAGCCCATGGGGAGACGAGAGACTTTTTATCATAGATCCACATATGATGGAAAAAAAAAAAAACACTATCTAAACAATTGAAGAAATAATATGGTAAATTTTAAATATATAGTTGTATAATATATTTACGTAGGATTTAATATAAAATAATAATAATGAATTTAATATTACATATATAAAAAATGTTTTATACTTAATATTTTTACAAACTTTTAGTTGCTAAAAATGAATAAATTAAATATATTTCACTATTTTTATTTTTTAAAAGCAAGAAATAGGACACCAAAATAAACATGTTCTGTATTTTAAAATAATATCAAGAGAAAAATATTTTTAAAAAATAACATTTTAAAATCAAATGTCATCTTAAGATTCAAAAATATAAATAAAAAGGCCTCAGTTCGCCCAAACAGTGAACTTCTGGAAATAAGCTTTTAAGATGTTGTAAACATCTTGTAATTAAAAGAGATTGGGATTAGTCTTCATCAAAAGCAAAAACATTTTATACACAAAAGAGAATTGTTGGTTTTCATTTGACTTAATACTCTCTTTTCTTTAAAATCCTTTTGGATCGAATTTTGCATACTACCCATATCAAGATTGTGATAAATAAGTGCAGAACATGTGCTATGACTCCACAGAACTTTTCACATGTTCATTTCTTTGATTATCACACTTACTTGTGAAACTACACAAAATTTCACCTGTTAAACCACCTTATATATATATATATATATATATATATATATATATAAAAGCCAATTAAAATTAGGCCATATATACTCAACATTATTACGATCAATTTAGCAATTCCTTTTAAATTTTGAAGTAGAAAATTGTAAACAGAAGTTTTTTTTTACAAAAGTTATAGAAGTTGTATTTTTAATATTTTTCCTTCATATTTTATTACATTCCAATTAAACTCGAATAAATATTCTTTTATTTATTTTCACCTTCAATTTATCCTTTACTGTATGTTTCACAAAATGAAGTGACGTTGCCATAATAAAATTTGAAGTTAAGTCGTAATTAGAACTAACCCTTTGATTATTTTTTACAGATGTGATAATAAATAATTAAATATACTCCTCAATCATTGATAGTCTTGATAAAGGGCCATAACTTTTCTTTCTCCTTAGTCAATTGCACAAACACTCGTTTGGTGTTTTGTATGGCATCATTTGCAAGGGAAGTAGATAAATTACTTTAGTTAAATTAATTTTAAATTTATCTAAGTTATCTCACGACATAAATACCATCCTACCTGAACAATCAGCATCATGAAAAATTAATGCTTGCCCTGTATCCTTACTTAACCTGTCAGATTGTAAAATAATGTTGCCCCAAGGCTTTGAATATGTAAAGCTTCTTTCAACGCTAGAAAGTTTTTAAACAAAAAAGCTTGTTATTGTTGAATTAATCATTTTATTACAAATATAGAAATTAAGATCTCCAGTAAAACTGGATAATGCTTTCTGACATTCATGTGCTACATACAGGGGCTTTAAAATCTGAACTTTTTCCTGATTCTTCCTCTAGTTTGTCACCTTTCCTTGGCATGATACATACATCCAAAAGAGTAGGTACACCTCATCTTCCATGCTGTTTAAGCTATAATCTTCCATGAGCAGAATTGGTCATATATAATCACAGAAGACATTCATATCTCAAGAACAATATCTGTTAACAAAAAAAAAAGTTATATATTGCCAAAATAGCTGAAATTGACTTTGTTCCTAGACATCTCTCGCTCTACATAAGTAATACCTTAGTATATTGAAAAGGTGAAAGCGTTCTATCAAATTTAATATAGAATAATGTTACTCATAAAACACTTCGTTTTTGGGTAATAGGAGTTGAAAAGGAAGAGAGACAGAAAGAAAAAGTGAAAGATGTAATATATGATATAATGTGGAAGGAAAAAAGGAGATAACAGAGAAGTGAAAGTAATTTACTGGTGTGTGAATATTATTGTTATCGAATAAATGAGACATTTTTATATTAAATTAGGCACTATGTCAAACTAATGTATATGATTGGTAGACCATAAAATATAAATAAATTAATCAATTGTAGAACTTACATTCAGAATCAGTCTTGACCCATTTACTTCCATTCTCTGCAGCACTAGTGTGTTCTTCTTCATCATCATCGGCGTCATCATCAGACTGGGAAATTGGTCTGGTTTCCAGGTACTTCTTTATAGAGGGTGTTGTTGAACATGAACCTTGAGGATATATCTTTCTGTGAAGTATTGCCCTCAAACTCTGCAATCAAAACCAAAGTAAAAAGAGTAAGAAAATTACAAAGGAGTAATTAAGTTAGTGGTGAGAACAAACAAAAGCTATCATGGTTTCTCATTTACCTTCTCCATTCTGGACTCGGTGGCAAGTGGATCTTTGAGCAAAGGAGTAGGTTGAAATCCACTTCTGCAAACAAGCATCTTCTTAAGAAGGAAAGAAAGTGATTTCTTGCCAACACCTCTTTTACGGCTATGACCCAAACAACTACCTTTTCCCTTGCATATTAGACTATTGCTTGGGTACAAATTACCTTCAGAAACTGATTCATCTTCTTTTCCTTCAGGTTCCAACCTTGAATGTTCACTGTTCAAATGTTCCTTCTTGATCAGATCATTGGTGTTTTCTTTTTCACCACCCAAATTTGGTTCCACCCATCCCTTAAAAATTATGTTCAATTCATTCTGAAGTTTTCCAACTTCTTCAAGTGTGATCTCTTGTAAGGAAAATGAATCCTCTGCAGTTTTGTTACTCCTTCCACCAGAATCTTCTTTCAAGTTGTTATTACCAAATGTTCCAATTGCAAGGAGCGCTTGAGGCCAGTCACTGAACTCTTGATTGCAAGGTTCATGCAGGATGTAATCTGATGGAACAAAGATCAATCATCAAACTGACATGGCTCCAATAATGAAATAATGTAATATTAAAGACACCATTCATATTACAGAACTCAAAATTGAAATGGATAAATGTTTAAAGTACGTTTGAACTTTATATCAACTGAATTATTTTTTCCAACTGTTACTTTCTCTTATACCCTTCTTTTTGATAAATTGAACAGTATAATAATTCCAGCCTATAGACTCTACCAAACCTCCACTAGCTAATTGAGCTCAGGTGGCACTTTTGTTTTCCTGTACAGACAAAGGTTACCCATTACACAGTAGATACCACCAAACCAAGCCTCAATTCTGTGAACATTGTTTTGTTGTTCTTAGCCGCAAGCATTATTGTGTTCTTAACTCTGTACAAAATAGTGTTTTATCATTATGTACATCTAGAAACAAAATTCATAGTCAACATCATGATCACACCTTAATATAACTAAGCCATGTAAACTGTGGCAAATATGATCCTGTCATTGGAGAGTGATGCAAACAAAGAGGGGGGGAAAAATGCTTACAGTTGGTTGAAATTGAGCTACTTGGGTTCTTTTTTTCACTGCTCCCATTGAGCTTCTTTTGCATCCATTCAAAAACCTGCAAAATGGACAGATAACTTTGCTTAAAAATTCAATGTTAATTGGCAATGAATAATAATGTTATTATAAAAGAACACAATTCTTGCATACCTTCATTTTGATGAATCAGTGTTGGAGAACCTCTTAAGTAAAGTATATGGAAATTATGCCAAGGTAGCACAATGAAGTATATACAGTGCGCAAATCCCACAAGTCCAGCAATTGCTGAGCTGCAAAAGGCTTTAAATAGAGTTGCTAATTAGTGGTTCAAGTTCCCAAACAGTGACTTTCGTAAACTCTTGATTTCTCTAGGTTGTCTTTTTATCATCCCTCTTCCCAACCATAATTTTTTATTTCTTGTCTCCTTTGCTTGATTTTTTATAGAGGAAAAGATAAACACATGTGGCCATATTAAAGGATTAGTGAAATTAATCTCTAAACAAGGATTTAATCTTCAACAACATAGAGACATCATCTTGGCATCCAGATATTGAAGACTTCAGTTTCAGAGCCAATCGCCTTAGAAGTTCACTGGTGGTTTTCTTACATCTCTCTCTCTCTCTCTCTCTATATATATATATATACACACACACACGTATTTTTTTATTTTATTTTTATCTTTTTTTTCCTTTCATTTATTTTTAATGCAAACTTAGAACAAAATCGATGTTCACTCTAGGCGCTTTCTGTAAAAGCCTAGGAACGTAGAGCTAAGAAATAGAGTCCTTTGTTGCGTAATTATCTGATAAAAATTGAGATCGTTATATTAAAAATAAATTATTTCATTAAGCTATATTAAAAAAATTATTAAAATACGTAAAAAGAACTCGTAAGAAATCATAAACTATTTCTATAAATTATCTAGAAATTTTTGTAATCAACATTTATATATAATTTGTTTCAACTTTACATATAAACAAGTAGTTAACTTATGCGCTTATAAGTTATGGAAGATGACCAAAAGGAAGAAGTAGATTGGTAAATACAAGGATGTAAACGTATCAAGAATCAATAAAGCAAACTATGCAAAACGATGCATTGCATACAGAATATGGCATAAAGGATGAACATTGAAGTGTTGTGCCGTTGCCAATAATAATACAGTGTATATGCTAATTGTTCGCTTTGTGCCTTTATCCTTCACCAACCAACTTATATTGATGTGTTTATTTTCAGAAAATCTAATTAAGTGTCCTTCACCCACAACCATAAATATGCATATTAAGGATAGTTTTTAACGTTCAATCAAAGATTATTGTTCTTATTAATCTCTCAGCACATCTCGTAATATTAACTCATTAAAAGTTTAAGAGTACATATATCTTTATAATTTAGACATTTAAAAACAATTCATATTACCACTTATTAATAATGTGATATATATATATATATATATATATATCTAAACATGGTACTTTACTTGTCATCTCAGAATAACTATATAACTAAATGAATGTCATGTTATCATAGAGTAATAATATGATTAATTTTAAAATTTTTAAAAAGAAAAATAATTAAAATATTTGATCCATTAGAAAGAAAATAAAGAAGGCAATACTGAGGTGTAAAAATATTGGAAATTTGGAAGCAGAAGGAATTGTGGGCAAAGTTCCCGTTGGCTGTCCCTTACTAACCGAACCACTGTAAGTCTGCTGTATCTAATTTTCATCACCATATCTTCACCATTTCACTGGCCAGTTTCTTCAACACAGTATCACATCTCACTGTCCTCATCATTTTATATCTGTTTTTATCCCATTATTTTTATTTTTATTTTTATTTTACCTTTTTTACATGAAAAGGGATACCATATATCAAGTAATGAACGATATATTTACATCACTTTTTATTTTTTCCAATAATTTATACAGTTAAAGGCAGACTTATTTAATTTTAACTCGTAAACAAGTTATTTTTACACAAAATAATGTATTTTTTCTAATGACTTTCATGGAAGTCAACGTGGAATTTATGTATACAAAATTTTAGCAAGTAGTTTTTTTCTTATATGTTGAGATTACATCCTTTGATGATGTAGCTGCAGGTAATTAATTAATAATTAAACAGTTTTTTTATCTATTACTTTATAGATAAAATTTAAGAAAAATATTAGTAACATATTTTTAATTTATATATTTTTTATAAAATTTAATTGTATTAAAAACTCATTGTAAAATAGTTAGCTGGCTGCTAAATTTTGTTCGGTTAACAAATCAATTACTAAAAGATTAGGAATATATTTTGATAAAGTCACCTAAAAAGGAGAATATGAAAAAAAAGAGTTCAAGTATCCATTTATCTTTTCAATTTATTTTTTCTTCTCTTAAAATATATTTGATTGATTATCGGATATTTGCAACATCTGTTATACAGAAGCTTGCATGCCAATATTGCACTCACTTTCTACTTCCTAAAAACATAAAATGTGACATACATTCCACGTGCAAATACACTTAATAGTATTTTAATCTCGTGTGTGCGCGTGTGTCCATTTTAAATATATAATTAAATTTTATTTATAAAAAAATTATATCATAAGTGTGACAAAAAATATATAAAAATAACATTTAAAATTAATATTGACTCGCCATATATATTGTATAAAATGAAAAAGTGAAATTTTATATACGAATGATCTAAATTAAAGTATTTTGTAAATATAATAAACTTTTTGAATGAACAGTAGATAAGTTTTGACTTTTTTATTTTACATTTTTTTTCTCATCTTACAGGGTGAAATATTAGATAGATTGGGGATTTTGATACACAAAATTGGGTGAAAAGGAAAAGAAGAGCGGAAAGAAAGGATAGGTACCTGATGTCGTATATAGAACAGCGAAGGGGAAAAAAGAGAGAATGAGAATGAAAGGAATTTTTGTGGAAGCTTCCTCCACTTATTTTTTACCCTTTCGTTTTTAACAGTAAACATCTAAACATTCTCTAAGAGATGTGAAAGCAATGAGGCATTATGGCCGCCCCCTGAATTTCTGCTTCTAACAGTGATGTGAGTGGTTCTAAGTGGTTTTTGCTTCCTCTCTCTTTGGACAACACTTTCCCAGTTTCCATCTTCCCACCTTCGATTGAGATCTAGCAAGTGAGCTCCACCATCTTATGACTTTTAGGTTCACTACAATAACAACTTGAAGTCACAAACAATTGAAGCAGAAACAATATAAATACCTTTTAAATTTCAAACTGTTATCAGTTCATGATTATTAGCATATAACTGCTAATCATTGCAACAATTGTTTGTATTAACCGTTGACAATTGTTAATTAATATTTAACTCCTTTATTTTAGTTTCTGACACCTTAAAAATGCGCCAGTTATAGAACGCGTTACAAATATCGCTGGTAGGAGAAGGGTAGAACGCCATTAAACAATTACTGGTCTTTCTAGTTGAATTTAGAGAATGAAATTTAATACAAAATATAAACATAATAACCAAGCCCCATTTGCCAAATTAGAGGAATAATCTGTAGTAATTTTTTCAAATTTGTCAATTAGTTGTTTAAAAATAAATCATTCCAACGCAACTAATGCAATGTGAGATTAGATTAGTGACTAAGTCATATATAATAGATAGGTAAATTTTCATTTTTACAATTGAATAAAAATGGATTTCGTATGCAACCAGAAATTCTTGGTGAAAACTACTTTTTGGGAGCAACCTACTGAATATGTGTGACAACTAATCACCATAATCATTAAACTTAAAATATCCGTATACAATTGCTAGACATTAATGGATCGGAGAAGTGCCTTATTGTTTGGGATGAGGAAAATTTTCCAAGTTAAAAATCATCTTAAAGGAAACTACATTTCAACAAGTTTTGAGGGTCAAGAAGGAGTCAAAGATAAACCTGAACATAAGAGAATATTGGAAGATCTTTTGTTTTAATTAAAAGGAACACATTTCGAGCTATTTTAAGAGATTTTGTCACATTGTTGATTTTCCTCTAAACTGCTTGAAAGACAAGAAAATATTTTAAGACCACAAAACTAAAGGCTTTTTCGAGAAGTTTTGAGGAGTTTTTAAGTCACTGACACCAAAAAACTACTCGAAAAATAGAACTGGCAAGAAAATATTCCAAGTCTACAAAACTGATGGTTTTTCGAGGAGTTTTTAGGAGTTTTTAAGTCCCTAACACCCAAAGCTGCTCGAAAAACAGGACTAATAGGAAAATATTCTAAATCCACAAAAACTGATGGCTTTTCGAGGAATATTTGATGAGTTTCCAAGTACCTGACACCCAAAACTGCTCAAAAAACTGGAAGTGGTAAGAAAATATTCTAAGTCCACAAACTTGGCTGAGTTCTAGATTTCCTCCAAAATGGCTCGAAAAACAGAAATGAGCAAAGAAAATGTTCTAAGTCCACAAGACCCAGACAGACTCTCAAAACTCCAGAATGGCTCGAAAAGAGAAGTCAAGAAGAAACTATTCCAAGGCCATAACATTAAAAGAGTTTTCTAGGTTTCTCTCAGAAATACTCGAAAGATAGGAGTATTGAAAAATCCAAAAGCGGTTACCAGTAGTTATCAACATTCACCACTACGCAAAGGAGATCATGGGCGATAGCGGTTACAACAAACAGCACGATCACAAGCAATCGTGGATAGTGAGCCTCAACAGTTGAAGTCAGTTACTAAGAAGTGCCCGCAAAAGGAGGAAAACGGTGGTGATATTCATATCTATAAATACTACAAAGCATTATGTCAAAGGACGACTTTTTGCACCCAGACACCATACCTAAACACTCTGAGACGCTGAAACTCTGCACCGCGCCAGACACCAGTTACAAGGAGACCTACGGTGGCCGTTGTTCGCCGTTGTGAGGAGTTGTACGTTTACATTCCAGCACCTTTACATTCCTACATTTACCTTTCTGCATTTTAATTTCAGTTCTTGTTACCTATGTCTTCGTACGTTGTTTAGTTCCGGCTTGCTACATTTCTGTAAAAGCATCTACGTTTGATTTAATTGTGCACATTTAGTATTTACTATTCCTGCTTAATACTCTTCTACGCCGTTAATCTGAGCATCACGTTAACGACACACTTAAAAGAACCCAAAGAGGACCTAAATCCAGTCCTCAGATTGATCTTTGGATTATTT